TCTATCTATCTCTCTCTCTCTCTCTCTCTCTCTACCCATCTATATATCTATCTATCTATCTATCTATCTATCTATCTATCTATCTATCTACCTACCTACCTACCTACCTATCTACCTATCTATAAGATACTTCATATTAAAAAATAAATGATTCCCACAATACATTAAAAAAAATCAGAAAAAACTAAACATTAATTAAAAAATATATGATAATATAAAAAATAAACGAAAAGACTATACTGAAATCCAAATATAAAATTATAATCATAATACATTATAAAAAATGTTTTTAACTGATTTATACATTAAAAATAATTTAAAAAATATTATAATGTTACTGAAATAAATAAAAAGAATATATATTTTATCACGCAAATGGAAAAATATATATAATATATAAACGTTTTATAAACCTATAGTTAGACTGTTGCTTTTCTGTTGATATTAGTTTACACTCTCCTTATATACATATATATATTGTACTTGAATAACTCTGCACTTTCTCCTCTTTTTGCACACTTTTCTCTTACCTCTTCCAAAACTATTATACCCCAACCCCCCCTTCCTCACAGACCTGCTGCACCACCACACCCCTTCCCGCTGCCTCCGCTCATCAGAAGCCAACCTCCTATCCATCCCCACCCGCATCAATCACCGGACCTGGGGGGACAGAGCCTTCTCCGTCGCTGCCCCCTCCCTCTGGAACTCACTCCCACAACCCATCAGAGACTGCACTGACCTCACCACCTTCAAAGAAACTTACAAAAACTCACCTCTGCAATCTGGCTTTTAATATGTGATTGTTTTTGTATTATTTGCTCATATTTGATCATAATTATATCTATTCAAAGAGCTCTGCTGCCATCTTATGGACTACAGGCTGAATGTAAAACAGAGAGATTTAGGCTAGTTTTGTTTATGTGGATCTGTGGTAATGTTACTTTAAGTTTTCAAATGTTACATATTTTTAACAGTATACATCAATAACCCATTATTCACATTATAGATCAGGAATTCACAAACTCTTCCATTTCTTTCTGTGTTCTTTCACATTTTTGACAGTAGATGCTTTTGCCTTGATTTCATAAAACAACACGGGGCTTCCGTAGAAACAACACGGCAGCGTTGTTCGGGGGCGGGGCTTAGCGAACGAACGTTCAAACATTGATCTGATGATCTCATGATGAGGTCATAGCTTTGATCCGGTGACATAATTCGAAGTGACGCATCAAGGCACATTGAAACATGCAAAGGGCCTCATTATCACATCTGGTCACCCTTTGAGAGGCTTACAGAGAGTGCAGTGCGTTAAAAAACAGACAGTTATTTCACCAAAAGGATAGGATAACTTACCAAAGAACTAATTCAGAGCATAGTAATTATTAGAAAAATAATTATTACTACAGAGCAGAATTAATTAAAGATAGTAATTATTACAAAATAATTAGTATTACCATATAGTTAAAATTAGATCGAAAATTACTATGTCTCAATCAGCTAGCCCACAGGAAGAGAACATGGCAGCAATCGGTCAGGAGGACATCCTTCCAGTGATTGTAAAGTTCTTCAGCAGGCTGCCAGTGGATAAGTGGGAATCCCTGAACAAAAGCACATCTGATGATGACATCAAAATTTATGTGGCAGAGTTTATTTTGGACCTAGTAGAAGTAGTGACAAAATCCCTACTAGTAACCATGAAGAACAAACATTTCATCATTTCTGAGGAGGTTGTTTCGTCCATTCTGGGCAACACACTCCCTCAGACTATCGCTGATTTTCTGGACATTAAGGACACGGTTGAGTGTGCCAGCGCCACAAGTTTGACCAGGCTGCTGGGGAAAGAAGCTGTAAGCAGCGTCAAGTCAGCAGTCAGCTGCAATTCCCAGGCTGAGGGTTTTATGGAAAGCGAACACGTCACTTCCCCCCACAGACTTGATGTCATGGTTGGTCACGCCATCCATATGTTGAGAACTATTGGGGCTAAGATGAGTAGTTTGTTTCGATTTAGATTACGCAAAGAGAAGAGGGCTATGGAGACCTCCACTGATGGTCAAAAAGGAGATGACGTCAACGAAGAAAAGAGCCACGAGTCATCAGGTCCCTCTAAGACCTCAGAGACAGGGTCTGCCCTCTCAAAAACCTCAGAGGTCGACTATACCCTCTTTCAAACCTCAGGGTCCGAGTCTACCCTCTCAAAAACCTCAGTTGCTCCCCTCTTTCAAACCTCAGAGACAGGGTCTGCCCACTCAAAAACCTCAGAGACCAAACCTGCACTCTCTAATAGATCAGGGTCCGTACCTCTATTCCCTAAAACCTCAGCCAGTTCTGGGTCGAGGACCGCCTCAAGCGGATTAGAAGACAGCATTGGAAGCGATACATCCAGAATGGTCGAGGATATAATTACAAAAGAGTTTTTAAAAATCACAGAGCCCCTAATGGATAGTATGACCAAAAGTGAGAGCGATCTTCTTAGAGCCGACACGGTCAAGGAGATTGCTGAACTCACTCAATTAATCGTGAAGGAGAGTCTGGGAGAAAAGAGCAATTCAACACTTACCACTGAAGAAGTAGAAGCCGAGATCAAGCTGGGCGAGAAAAATATATGCGGAAAGATCAAGGCCTTTTTAACCAGACGTGTTGCCAAACTGACCATACATCGAATGTTGTCAGGGCTGAAGAAAACCTTTTGCCCTGGAGCAAGAGCAAGCAGCGTGAATTCAATGAGGGCTTTTGATAACGATATTGATGATCTGCTCACGGAGGAAAGTGATGGAGACCACGATTGCGACGAAGTTTGTGTTAATCAGAGAATGAAAGACATTTCCCTCCGCAAGAACCATGTGTTCAAAATGGATCTCAAAGAACTCCTCGACACTCACACCACGAGAGAGATGACGATTCCTGAGTTAACCCCAGGAGTTACGGAAATATTAGAGGCTGTGAAATCTGCGATAACGAGGCAAGTGCGTCGCTTCTTAGCAGTGTTCGGGTGGTTTGTGAACAAGGAGGCTGTCACACAAACTAAAAGGATAATATCGGCTTTCGAGGACATTGAAGCGCGACCAACAATCACAGAAGAAGCCCCAGTGTCAGTGTCATCGAAAGCCAAAATGGAAGTCAGGGTTCTGGTTCAGAAACTGGTCACACGGCTTTTCAAAAACGCAAAGGTGAACTACGACGTTGGAAACGCAGTCGGCATCGTTGAGAGCTTGTTGGAGAAAGTGTGGGCCAAAGTCGAGGGGGAAAGCTTCACAGTAACCCCGGACACCTTTCAGACCCTCGACAAGGTGGTTTACAAAGACCTGGTCAGGATCTGTGGCAGCGCAGAGTCCGTGCTCGTGATCTTCAACATGGAAGGATCGTCAGAAGAAAATTGCATCGCGTCCATTTTCAAAGCTCGCCTGATGCGTCAACCAAAGAAGCTTGGAGCCGTCTGCAAATTCTTCCGCTCTGTAGGCAAGGCCATCTGCAAGCCTTTCAGACGCAGCTCTGAGCCCGTGTGGATTCTTTAAAGGGGGTTATTGAAATGTGGGGTCTTTAATGGGAGTTATTGAAATGTGGGGTCTTTAAAGGGGGTTAAGGAAATGTGGGGTCTATTGTAGGGTGGGATCTTAAGTTAGGGTGGTAAATATGTGTGGGTGGGTTTCATCATTTTGGGATTTACTCGGGGGTCGCTCCGGTGTTTTCCCAAAAATATTTGTGTTGGTTGGTTTTATCATTTTGGGTTTTCTCCGGGTTCACTCCGGTTTTTCCCGCTTACCATGCAACGGATTGGACGATTAACATCTCCACCAAAAACTGCATGGTATCAACCTCTTATATTGTTATCAATAAATGTTGAAAAGCATTTTTACTGTTTCTCTGTCTTTAGTTTACGGTTGAATCTGTTAATATGTAACACATGCTGAAGGTCTACTATTTCACTTCAAGATCAAACTTTTTTGTTTATTGTGAGAAAATGACTATGTATGCTTTACAAAAGATTGGGTCATTTTACAAATATATAGTAAATTGGGTAATTACATTGTCACAGCAGCAGGGTTGTCACGCATTAAACATGAAGTGAAACTATTTAAAAGAGAGTATAAGATACAACTATAATAAAACAAATAATGTACATGAACAGCAATACAACATTACAATAGAAAATACATCTAAATAATACACAATATAAAGAAAATACTGAATATATTTAAATACTCTACAATATACAATTGCACTAGGCAACAGATAGAAATATACAGAGTATTAAATAATTAAAATAAACAATACATGAGAAATAAAAAAATTGTGCTGTTGTGGAGCACCTAATCACAACAATCTTTGAAATTCCGATGGTCTTTAAACGCACCATTTGACCTGTTTATTGTACCCGGGACAAAAATAACAGTCAAAGTCTCGTCGAGTATTTCTCCCTCATAACTGTGTTTTGTGAAGTAGGCATTAGATTAAAATAAACAATACAAAGGTAGAAGTCTAGGTTATAACTTCAGGGACTCTTAAATAAAGTTGTAATGGGTTCCTCTGCTGGTCTCAGACTTTATATGAGTGATAATAACGGACCTTTAATCCTGGATGGGGGTCTGGCGACTGAACTGGAGGCGCAGGGAATCAAATTACAGGTAAAATATAATTAATAATAATAATAATATTTATCTGATTAACTACCTTTATTAAGGTTTATACTGTATCCGTCAGTTTGTCATTAAAATACTCATTTATATAGTATTAAACTAACGTAAAGTAAAAGAGATGTCATAATTAAAACACATTTAAAGTAAGGTATTTTAACTTATAATAATGATAATAACAATTATAATAATAAAAACTATTATCATTATGATGTGTATTACATCAGTTGGTTTATATCTGTCACATGTATATTACAGTCAAATGTTTGATAAAAGTCGATGTTGTGTTCAGTTATAAGTTTGCACACGGCGCCATCTTGTGGCGGAAGACATTCATAACCTGCTTCCGCCACACCACACACGCAACATCCGGTTGTGCAGCAGCCATTTTGTCTGTTCGGGCAGCAAGTCTACCCTGACGATCGAGAACTGCAGTTCCGTCTTAAAGAAAACAATGTGAAATTTTATCCCAGCGTTAATATTTCCCGTTATCTACTATCTAAAAAATCAAATCACAATTTTACAAGCCGAGGTGGGCGGCAGAACCCCCGGATTTGAGTGTAAAAAACTAAAAGGCGCTGGTGTCTGGTTACGACATGTCGAGCGAAGAGAGCTACCGGGCCATCATCCGCTATCTGACCGATGAGAGGGAGCCCTACGCGGCAGGGACCCCCGGGAACACCAAGAGAAAGATCCGCAAAGCAGCGACATGCTACGTGGTCCGCAGCGGGACTTTGTTCTACCAGAGGCGGCTGAAGGGACAGAATGACTTCACGGAGCTGGAGGTGGTGCTGCAGGACGGCCGGAGGAGGGAGCTCATCACCGCGGAGCATGTTGCCTCTGAGGGCGGGGAACACCTGAACCAGCAGCTCACCTGGGACTCCATCTCACAGAAGTACTGGTGGAGAGGTGAGGAAGAAATAGCCACTTAAATGCGGTTAAATCTGCTTGGAAAACTGGTGTTAACATGAGGTTTTATTCATGTAAATATACGCCACACGACACAGTCACATAGTTACTCGCTGTCTGCATCTAGCGGTTAATTTAAGTATTTATTTTTGAACTTTTTTTAATTTGTTTATTAACAAAGTAGTTTGATTGGCATTATATTAAAATCCACAATAACCTGCACTGAATATTAATATTTGCACTGTATGCACATACACATTTCACCGGCACTGGTACCTGCACTTTTACAGATATTCAACCTATCTATATATATATATATCATATGTGTACATTCACCTGATGAGTGTTTTTGTTATTTCTATTCATACGGTTACTACATGTTTATTCTTATTTTTTGTATATGTGTATTCTTATTATCCCTGTAGTTCTCTCTTCAGTTGCTGCTATAACACCTGCATTTCCCTATGGGGATCAATACAGGTCCACCTTATCTCATCTTGTCTTACAATAAAAGGCTCATAAAATTATAATTATTATAGGTTTTTATACTTAAATAAGAATATCATTGTGCTGAGCTGCTCAAGTCATCCGCTGAGTGTGTTTGTTCAAATTAAAATCCTAAATTAAAGTTGTTTTTGGTGTTTCTTTAGGAATAAAATGTATTGGAAACTATTTCATCATCCAAAATCATTGCATGAAGGAAAAGAGATAAGCATTTAAAAGAAAAATATATATTAATAAGTATTGTTGAGACTATTTAGTGCTACTGGTGGAGAGGTGAGGAACACAATAAGTGTAAATATTCAATATACGGTTGTCACGTTGCCAGATAATAATGGAACTTACACAAATAAATAGGAATGGGTATTATTTATTAACATGTTTAAACAAAACTAGCCCCAGTGCCTCACATGTAAATACATCCCGGGATTGTTTGGTTGTGGATGACCCCTCCTGTATCTCTGTTCTCTCAGGTATCCTGAAGCAGGTGAAGGACGTCATCAGAGAGTGTCCGGAGTGTCTCAACAGACGCAGCTCAGATGATGGCGCTGGAAATCGACTTTTCGCCCGACCGGCGCGACGCAGAACGACCACCAACGCTAACGATGAGGAGGAAGAGGAGGAAGAAGAGGGAGATAGCTTAGTCTTCGCTGACCCGTCTTCTCAACAGAGACACAAAGTGACGGCCAAACACGAACTCGTCTTTGTAAGTTTCACCTATTTACCTTTTTGTTTAAGTCCAGATAATTACAAAGATGGGATCTTGTTAAATAATAAAAATTAAAGCTAAATAAATGTAGCCTTTTTTCAAATAGGGATGTGCATCTCCATCACTGAGGCCGATACGATGCACATCTCGATACGCTACCAACAATACGATACCTTTGAAACACCAGGCGATGCGATACGATACAATTCACCCCTGTTGCGATACAGTTCGATACGATTTGATTCAACATTATGCGATACGGGGCGATACGATGTGATTCAACACGATGCAAAATAATGATACTTCAATATGGTACGACAGAGGATTATGTTTTATTCCTTATATGCAGCAAATCATACATTAACAAAAAAGTGCTTCACATATTTGCTTCTCTCTACTAGTACTGCGCATCCCATCATGCTGTTTCTTTTTTACCTTAAAAAAAACAAACACTTGGACCTTTCACAAACTGGCCTTTTCACAAGTGTAGTAGTGTTCTCTGTCTCGAGTACAGTTCAATTTTATAACACCTCTCAGTTAAACAATTTAAGGATGCCCAGGATTAACAATGTGCAAATAACAACTACCATAGTGCAATGCACATACAACTGCCAGCCTGATGTGCTTAACACTCATTCATAGGCTAACTCACCAGTGAGCAGAAAGCAGTGGTTTCTATAGGAACAATAAAGAAAATAACCTTTCACAAACAGGTATTTCATAACTGCTTACAATTGTAAGGAAGACATTTAAACTATTATTGGCAGTCACAGCTGTTGTAAACTAAACACCACTCTCACTGACAGAACACCTCACTGAGTGATTGAACTCATATGTCTAACTTTCAGGTTTCTCTTTTCAGCCGCAGACCCCATGTTGCCTCTATGTGCGTCGCTAAGTTCCTCGTACTACTTGTGTACTTTAAAGCCGCACGGCATCGTTTACAATTTGCGAGCGATTTTTCAAGTTGTCCGTCTTTCTTGAAAAATTCGAAGTGTTGCCAAACGTTTGATTTGTAGGTATTTTTCGGTGCGCTGTGTTTCTCTTTCTCCTCGACTTCCATGTGTGTTGATAACTGAGACTCTCGGCCTCCGTAGTGCGAAGCAAAGATCAAAGATCGTCTCTGCTGAGTGCTGACAAGATGAGGGGATATTATATGAATGAATCGGTTTTTTACCGATGCAAAGACGCTACAATCGATGCATTGCGAGTTCAACCCAAACTGTAGCCGATGTGCACTCTTTCAACCGGTGCACTCGCATCTTGAACGTTTATGCCGGTGCACCGATGCGAATCGGTGAATCTTAACATCCCTAGTGTCAAATGATATGACAATGTGATTAAAATAATATTAGTTTTCTTTTATAAATCGACTAATGGATCCGTAAAAACCAACATAATAACTAAGGCATGTCAGTCAAATATTCAAGCTTTTATTTTCATATTACTATCTGGCTTCTCTCACAATGCAACATACAATATACTCTACACAACAAGAAAAATACTTAAAATAGTGCATTAGACATATATGGTGCAAGTAAGTTACAGGAGAAAGAAAATATATACATATAAATCAGAATAAGGTGAAAAAAAAAGTAACATTTTAAAGAGTTTAAATTAGAATAAATACTATAGTTACATATTACTATTTAGATATGTGGATTAAGCAGATGTATTGATGACCAGTGATGATGATACAACATATATTATAAACATGGCATCATTAAACCTTTGTTCTCTGTGGTCAATAAGCAGTTATCTTGAGCGAAGGTGATGTAAAAAAAGTGAACATCAAAAGAAAATATAACGAGGACAATGTTAAAATTACAGCAGCAGCAGAAAATATGCTCCAAATACTTTTTTTGTTTGTTTTTGGTATACAATTGTATCTTTGCTCACATAATAGATGGTTGTAATTACTGTAAATACATTAGCAACGGGACTAGGTTTATATGGTTAACATTGATGACCGGTTATTATTGTTGACATGTGTTGATTAGATTTTGAAGGTGTTTTAATGTGTGTGTTTCCCAGGTGGACAGTAAGGGCGAGGTGAATCAGTTCCTGCCCAAACACAGCCAGACGATGCTGGACAAACTGAACCAGCAGCGCCTCACTAACCAGTTCTGTGACATCACGCTGCTCATCGAGGGAGACGAGTACCGAGCGCACAAAGCCGTCCTCGCCGCCTGCAGCGAATACTTCAACGAGCTCTTCTTCGAGAAGGGAGCCGCGTCCACACACGAGGCCGTGGTCGACCTGTCCGGTGAGAAATGTTGTCTTTGTCGTATCGTAGCAAAGCATTATGTTGCTGTGAAGGCTGTGGCTGAGTGAGATAGTGCGCTACCATACCTACCTACCTACCTACCTACCTACCTACCTACCTACCTACCTACCTACCTACCTACCTACCTACCTACCTACCTACCTACCTACCTACCTACCTACCTACCTACCTACCCTACCTACCTACCTACCTACCTACCTACCTACCTACCTACCTACCTACCTACCTACCTACTACCTACCTACCTACCTACCTACCTACCTACCTACCTACCTACCTACCTACCTACCTACCTACCTACCTACCTACCCTACCTACCTACCTACCTACCTACCATACCTACCTACCCTACCTACCTACCTACCTACCTACCTACCTACCTACCTACCTACCTACCTACCTACCCTACCTACCTACCTACCTACCTACCTACCTACCTACCTACCTACCTACCTACCTACCTACCTACCTACCTACCTACCTACCTACCTACCTACCTACCTACCTACCTACCTACCTACCTACCTACCTACCTACCTACCTACCTACTACCTACCTACCTACCTACCTACCTACCTACCTACCTACCTACTACCTACCTACCTACCTACCTACCTACCTACCTACCTACCTACCTACCTACCTACCTACCTACCTACCTACCTACCTACCTACCTACCTACCTACCTACCTACCTACCTACCTACCTACCTACCTACCTACCTACCTACCTACCTACCTACCTACCTACCTACCTACCTACCTACCTACCTACCTACCTACCTACCTACCTTACCTACCTACCTTTCAATAAACTATAACTATATCATTTATTTTGGCTCTTAACCTATATACAGGGTGTACGCGGGGTCTTAAAATGTATTAAAAGTTGATAAATCAATTTAGCGAAAATGAAGGCTATTACAAAGTAGGGCTGTGCAATTAATCGTACTTTAAACAATTATTTTGCTTTGCTAGGTTGTGACTGCACTGCAACATATATTTGATCTAATTCATTTTAGTCTAATTTATTTGTATTTATCATATTTACATATGTTTAGTAGCTTGTTGAAGTGCGCTCCAAAATATTTATTGATCTTGTTTATTGGTATTTATTATTTTGATATTATTTATTTAAATGTTAATACAAATGTATCATTTTTTTTATTAGTTTTTCAGTTGAATTATACGTTCAGGGTAATCAACAGTTAAAAAGATACTGTTCAAATTATTATTTGTATTTGTTTTAAAGTTCAATAAATGGATGTTTTCAAAGTCAATGAATAATCGTATTTAATAATCGTGATATCAATTATTGACCAAAATAATCGTGATTATGATTTTTGCCATAATCGCACAGCCCTATTAAAAAGTATTAAACGGCATTTTCCAAGGTATTACATTGTGTAGCTTGTTTTCAATAAGTATATAAATTGTCCAAAGAGGTTGTATTCTACAGTCTGCCTGAATGTAATCATTGCGTAGGTGTGTAGTGTGATTCTGTGTAGTTTATTTATGGCATCCCGTTGGGTTTGACGTCATCTGAACAGGACATCGCACGCTCACTGCTTGATAGCGCGCGAAGGTCCGTTTACGCCGGTTGTTAAACAACATCGTTATGGGGAAATGCAAGTCTGCGTCCAAATGGTTGGAAGATAAGGAGGAAGGACAATCAATACTGTATATAGTCAATGTGAGGTAAAGTGTGTCGCCAAGGTAACCGGTTAAAACTCCAAGTGGCGATGAGGTCTTAAAATGTATGGAAAGGGTCTTAAAAAAGGTCTTAAAATGTATGGAAGACCTTTATGTAAGAAAGGTCTTAAAAGGCATTACATTTGACTTCAGGATTCCTGCATATACCCTGTATATATTAAATTCATTAAGTGTTAAACCAACAAAACACCCTATTTGTATCTGCACTTCCTGGTCGCTCCATCAAGACAACATAACCTTCTTATCAACAACGTCAACATTTCCAGTTTGGAAGCATTGAAAGCTGACTTGGGAATCTCTTTTTAGGGTTATAATCAGGGTTCGAGTTATGTGGGAGCCAATGGGAGCTGAGCTCCCATAAGGAGGGGTCTGAGCTCCCACGGACGCAGTGAAATCATACATCTGTGGGGGTCGCTAATACATTACCAACAACCATTATTTTAATCACAAATAATGCATGTGTCAATGTAATGAGTATTATTTACGTTAACGAGGTAAATAGGCTAAAAGAAAAACATGTTTTCCAAAAGAACAACGCATCTCTTGAATGACAATATGCCTGCACTGCAATACATTATTGCGCAATCTGTGCCTGTGAGCGTGCTGCGATGATGTGTGTGTGCGTAGTCGAACCTTTTCATATTTAAGTTTGTAGCAAGTAGAGGCCTGCTTCTGCTGTGTGTGTGTGTGTGTGTGTGTGTGTGTGTGTGTGTGTGTGTGTGTGTGTGTGTGTGTGTGTGTGTGTGTGTGTGTGTGTGTGTGTGTGTGTGTGTGTGTGTGTGTGTGTGTGTGTGTGTGTGTGTGTGTGTGTGTGTGTGTGTGTGTGTGTGTGTGTGTGTGTGTGTGTGTGTGTGTGTGTGTGTGTGTGTGTGTGTGTGTGTGTGTGTGTGTGTGTGTGTGTGTGCGCGTTAGTTTTAAAGACCCCCATAGAGCTCAGTTTATAACTCGAACCCTGGTTATAATATCATAATATATACAGGGTGCGTACGGGTGCTGGAAATCCTTGAAAATGCTTGAAATTGTACGAGGTGTTTTCAAGGTTTGAAAAGTGCTTGAATTTGGGATAAAGTGCTTGAAATTGTAAATGCTTTACTTCGCTTTTTAGATTAAAAGAAAATAAAGAAGTCGGAGCGCGCTTAATTGCTTCGCTTTTACATAAAACAGCTCCGCTCCGACCTTCCCGCGCAATGCGCGTGACCGGCAAGTGTTTTTGTTACGTGTGTGACCTGGGCATTCTGATGAGGGTGATAGATGACAGTATGCCAGGAGGTTGCCGTGTCAACGAGCGTTGGCTAGCAGAAGACAAATACAAGCCATGGCTAAGACGAGGGTCAAGCGAAGCCCAAGAGTAGCCTCCTGCAAAGTGTGCAACAATAACGATGCGAGAGTCTGCGCTGACGAGCCACACACCACACGAAAGGTACGCCGTATAGAGCATTTTAGATTAGGCTATCGTTGCATGTAAAATACATGACACTTTTCTCTGTGCGCGGCAAAACAAGCTCGCCAAAATGGCTTCACTAGTCTGGCAGTATTTTAAGTGTCCGAAAATGACAATAAAATAGCGGTATGCAACGTGTGTGTGAAGCAGAAATCCTGCAGCTCCACCCGCTGTGACGGACCGGTGAGCGGAGCAGAACACACATTAAGAGTTAGACCTAACACACTTAGCTATTTTATCTACCTCTGGAACAAGCTGATTCCGGCGATCGGCCCCAAAATTGGCGATCGGAGCATCCCTAATAATTGTATATGATATGTTTTATAATGATTGATCATGAAAGTGTTCTCAAAGCTGGTAAAGGTGCAGCTAGTTTGAATGACTTTGTATACTGCAGGGTAGCTTGTGAATTTACTCCAGGTGGAACTAAAGTCTGATTTAACACTTGATTATATTTCACATCATTCATCCACATCTGTAAAGTAACTAAAGGTATTAAATACATGTAGTGGAGTCAAAGTACACCATTTACCTCTGACTTGTGTTTACTGCCAACCTAAAAGTACCTCAAAAATAGTAATCAATAATGTATTGAAAAGTTATTTGGCTGATTGTTTTATATTGGCTCAGCCAGGTTATATGGGATGCCCAGTCTACATACAGATGGGTCACTCATTTTGAAATATTAAACTTAGTTTTCTTTTCTAAAAATTTAAATTGTTCATCCTCATGTAGAATGCTATTATGAAACACACATTTGGTTGTTTATAGCATAAAGAACATCAGATTTAATGTGAGGTAGGGAAATAATCATTTGAGTATAAGTATGTGCATATAAATATGTAATTTACAACAGCTGTAAGATGCTTGAAAAGCTTGAAAATGCACCTTGAAAATGCTTGAAAAGTGCTTGAATTTGACTTTGGAAAAGGTGTAAGAACCCTGTATATAACTACAGACATATGAAGCTGAACCTTTTGATAGAGACTTATTTTTGATCAAACATTTTCTCCGTTCTCACCTTCCTCTTCCTTCTCTCTGCAGGTTTCACTAAAGCCAGCTTCCTGCCTCTTCTGGACTTCGCCTACACCTCCATGCTCACCTTCAACTTCTGCGTCATGGCCGACATCGCCAACCTGGCCCGACACCTTCTGATGACGGAGGTGCTGCAGATCTGCGAGTCCGTGCACAAGAAGGTGGAGGAGCAGAAGCTGACTGTGTACCAGAGGGGAGACGTTCACACCGTGGTGTCCATGCAGCCGGCCAATCAGGACAGCTCTAAGAAGGTTAGTGTTGGGAAAATAGTGAATGTCCTCTTCCAATATCAGAGTAACATGATAACAAAGGTATCCCAACTGTAGCTGTGTACATGACAGGATGTATGATTACCTAGAAGAGCATCAGGACTGTTTTAGGCATATGATAGCTATGTGATTAATTAATTTAATCACATAGCTATAATTCATTTTGAGATTGAGAAAAAAAGACAGAATTTTGAGAAAAAAGTAAGAATTTTGAGAAAAAAGTAAGAATTTTGAGAAATAGTAATAATAAAAAAAAAACATTTTGAGAAAAAACTCAGTATTTTTAACATGACAGGATGTATGATTACTTAGAAGAACCGGTATTCCTCCATCTTGTGACTGTGTAACTCCCTCTCTTGTATATCAGCATGTGAAGGACACTGTTCAGGAACTAGTTGATGCTCTGTATGTGAGGACTACTTCCATTCTGGAGAGGATCAGAAATACATGGATCCTGAGATTGAAGCTCAAGCCGGAGACCAGTGATATTTTCTAACAGCTAGAAAAGTGTCAAAATAACTATTAATTTCACGGGGAGACTAGGGGTAGAGGAATGGGAGAATTTGGTTAGGGATATTGTCAAATATCTGGAACAAACTAACAGAAACCAGGCTGAAGACTTTTCTTTTTGCCGCTGGTTTTAATTGAACTATTGACATCTTACACTGCCCTGTAACTATTCATGTTTTATGACATAGCTACAGTGTAGTTATGTCAATAGGCGCGTTCACACCAAGTACTTTGCCGTATTTAGTGCCGGCACTAAATTACCCCAGGGCACTTAGTACAGATCGCGTTCACACCGGAATAAGTTCCCTGAGGGAAGATTACGCAAATGAGCCGCTGACGTCACTTCTTCTTCTTCTGCTTTGGGTTCACTGGCAGGCCGCAAACCACTTCACGGCGTATACTGCCACCCGAAGTCCCCGGCCGGAAGTCCCCGGAGTTGGGGACTGGCTTCAGTCGAAGCTGCTGGGACTCCCAGCAGCTTCTACTGAAGCCTTCCGAGTAAATCGCCAGAACGCCGACACCTCCTCATCTCCACCGCTCCCATGTTTTCTTTTGTGTTGCCATAAGTTAGTCTCTCTCCGTTGGTGCGCTGGGCTAATGCTAATGCTAATAATGCTAATGCCACAAATACAATGGCGGCTTCACAAAACTGGATAATAAAATGGCAGCTCTACAAAACATTTCAGAGTTGTACGGGGCGTGGTTTGCAATTCGCCCAGCCAATCAGAACTGGGGCACTTTTTTCCCTCAGGAAAGTACCATCTCTCAGCAGGCACTAAAAATGGGGGTAAAAGTTCCCGAGATTAAGTGCTCTTTTTGGTGTGAACGCGACATAAGGGGTACTAACGGAACTAAACGCGAAAAGTACGGTGAAAAGTACTCCGGTGTGAACGCGGCTAATGAAAATCTTAGGTCACAGGCTGCTCCAACAGCAACACAATAAAACAGATACAAATAGTACAAGGAAATAGAATATGATAGAAACAGAATATAATAGAAACTGTGCAGAATAGTCTATATACAGTAATTGGAATATTGATATATATATATATATGTTGCAAACAGATGAATGTTATGGATGTTTTTTCAGAAGTTCAGGTGTTTAACATTCTTATGACCTGTGGGATTAAACAGTTTTATTATCTTTGCTATTTAATGTTTCTAATGTGTTTTATGCTCTTAATGTCTTTCATTTTTGTAAAGCACTTTGAATCGCCTTGTGTTGAAAAGTGCTATATAAATAAACGTGCATTGCCTTGCTTTAAGGACGAGGGCTTCGTGGTCACCATCGAGAGCGACGGCAGTGCAGTGGTGACACAAAATGGCGGAGAGCCTTTGGCGTTCGTTTCAGCGTCTGAGGAGGGGTTCGTCCCACAGATGGAGGTCTCTGAAGGGAGAGAGGATCAGATGGAGATGGAGATGGAGGCGGGAGAATCAGAAAACGTGGCTCTGATCGCTAACAGTGAACAGCTGGAAGCAGGGGAGACCATGACGTTGATTTCCCGCGGTGCAGAGGAAGGGGACACGATGACGGTGGTGACTCACAGCGGGCAGGCGGGGGCTAGCGAGAGTTTAGCGGTGGTTTCGGCGTGTTTGGCGATGGAGGAGGAGCCTCAAAACGCTGAAGCTACCGTGGGGTTTGTCTTAAACGTCGAACCGGACAAAATGAGCCTCTCGGAGGACGTCAAACTTTCTTCTTCCTCCCCGACGGCGTCTCCTCAGGTTTTTATTTTATTTTTTATTCATCTATTCAATATCATACATGAACATCATACATTTGACATACAACAAAGTCCAGGGGCAGACATACAAAGCAACAATCCAATTCAATCCAACTTTACTTGTATAATAATAATGCGTTTCTTTAGTATAACACCTTTCACATTAATAGAATTCACAAAGTGCTTCACAAGAAAGAACAAAAGTTCAAATGAAGACCACAGCAACATGAATACAATAACAACATGTTAAGGTTAACATAAAAACAAAACACAGACCACGTAGGGTCCCGAAAGGAACAAACATAAGAACAGGACACATCACACACATCTCAAGTACTGGACATAAAAGCCAATGTAAAAAGATACATATAGCACATTAAAAAAGTTAACCAAAGTGCTGTACATCAATAGATATATAAAAAAGCAGCGTAAATACATTTCAGTCAGACAACTAAACAATGTTTATTAGAAGCAGCATATAGTTGAGTTTGGCGTCTAGGCTCGGGCCTCATCACTCCACAGATATACATAGCACGATGAGTGATGATTAAATAACTAACCCCCCGAGCCTACAGGTGGAAGCTGGGGTGGTGGGGGGGCAGGCAAGCAGCAGCGACGTGGAAGTAGCTGCAGCAATAGCAGCAGCTAGCAAAGCATAGAGAGAGATCTGGCAGGTTCAATAGAGCGGCATATTAAGGAGACTCTGTTTGGTTGGTTGTAGAGTGGCAAGGGGCGTTATGTATGAGTGTGGCGTAGTGGACTAGTGCGTTGGTGTTCGGACCAGGGGAGCACAGGTTCAAACCCCACTGCAGTCAGCATGGCGTTGTGTCCCTGAGACACTTCACCCCAAATTGCTCCTGTATTGAGTATGTAATTCGCTTTGGATAAAAGCGTCTAAGTGACATGTAATGTAATGAATGCAGCATAAGTGCTCGAGTTGACTGCCTGAACTAGCTCGCAGGCTTCGCCCCATTTAGACAAAACCAATAGGACAAAAAGAAACTAATGTTAAAGGTAGGGTAGGTAAGTTTGAGAAACCGGCTCGAGATACACTTTTTGTTATATTCCATGGAATGCTCTTAACATCCCGATAGCAATGAATATCTGAAGTGCTTTGACAATAAATACATTAAAAAATGTCATCTGTGGAAGCCGTGGCGCTGTAAAAAGCACGACCAATCATCTGAGCCGGCTAAAATAACTGAATGGCCTACCTGCCTGTCAGCCTTCCATCTGTGCACAAACTTATCTCGTGCCCTCATTGGTCATGTGCGCGTTCGTGTGTGTTGGAGGAGGGGCTCTGTGAGGAAGTGGCAGATTTTCTCCGGTTGTGTATTTTCAAATTCTAGCGATCTCGAGCCGGTTTCTCAAACTTACCTACCCTACCTTTAAAGCACGAGACAATAAAACCATACTTATAGCCACAGACTGAAAACCCTCAGACATTATATAAAGAAAAAAGGAAAGAAAAATATATTTTGATACTTCAGATTAAATATTTGTTAAATATCAAATTATTTTCGATTGCCTTCTTATTCCTAATGTTTTTAATAGTGCTAATATATTGTTTAAATTGTTGATAAAAAATATGGTTTGGAGTCAGCCCATTTATTTTTATGGATATGAAATTTCCCTAAAAATACACTTAAAGGTAGGGTAGGTAAGAATGGAGAAACCAGCTCGAGTGCGCTAGAATTTGAAAGTACGCAGCCGAAGAAAATCTGCCCCTTCCTTCAGACTTCCTCACAGAGCCCCTCCTCCAACACACACGAACGCACACATGACCAATGAGGGCACGAGATAAGTCTGTGCACAGATGGAAGGCTGACAGGCAGGTAGGCCATCCAGTTATTTTAGCCGGGCCGGCTCAGATGATTGGTCGTGCTTTTTACAGCGCCACGGCTTCCACAGATGACATTTTTTTAAGTATTTATTATCAAAGCATTTAATGTATTCATTGCTATCGGGATGTTAAGAGCATTCCATGGAATATAACAAAAAGTGTTTCTGAAGTGAATTACCTACCCTACCTTTAACAAACAAAAAAGACTAAATCTGCGTCCATACCATCAGCCCTGAAGTACATAAGAATGTCTTTATCCCGTCTTTCTTCTAATAAAACATTCTACATCAAACCACAATATTCTACCATACACGCATTTCTAAAATAAATCAACACATGCAGTGTCAAAAACAAAAAAAAACAGGTGTGCAAGTTGTCAATATTTTTTAACCCCCCCCCCCCCTACAGAATAAGACAAGATTAATAGTACAAAAACATTTAAAATGATAGACAAACAGATGGTTGAAATCACAGCACAAAAAACTAACAACAACAACAACCACATACAAAGTTTGAGATAAATGTTAGTCATGGTTGACTATAGTAATCTGTTTTCTAATTCAGTTAAAAAATGATGAATCAGTTAGGGAAGAGTAGACAGTTTCAAACTTTCCATGTACGTTCAAAATGGTTGCCATGTCCTATAGAATTTACAAGTGGAGCCGTCCAAAGTACACTTTATTTTCTCCATGTGTAGAAACTTCATAAGCTCCGTCACCCACTGGACATGAGTGGCAGACGCCTCCTGCTTCCACCTCATAAGTACAAGTCGCCTAGCAATTAGGGATGCAGTGTCTTTTGAGCTGGATATATTGTGTGTAACATTTTAAAAGAAACCTGCTTAACTTAATTCGGCGCCTCCTCAGGTGGAAGAAGCAGAAGCAGCAGCGACACCGACACCGCAGAAACGAAAGAGAGGACGTCCGGCTAAAGTGAAGAAGGAGGAGGTGTTGGAGGAGGTGGAGGAGGTGGTGCCGCTGGAGGAGGAAGATACGCTGGAGGACGATGAGAACAACGGAGAGAGACTGGAGTCAGACGAGCCCACCAGGAGGAGGCTGAGGCAGCGCTCCATCGCTGAGGGGGGGTACGCTCGACTACACATGGGCCTGGAGGAGGAGGAGGGGAAGAAAGCCTCAACACCCCCACGACCCACAACCCCAAAGGTACAAAAGGGCCCTATTCTGCTTTTTGGGGTTTTTCCTTTTTCTATAGGTCCCGTAGCATTCGATACTCAGAAACATTAAAAAAAGAATGGTGGTATGATCTAGGGCGGTGGTGGCGAAGTCCATAGGGACTTGGCTTGGCAACTGGAAGGTCACCAGTTCAAGTCCTGGAAAGACCAAGTGCTACCGAGGTGTCCCTGAGCAAGGCACCGTTCCCTACACTGCTCCCCGGGCGCTGTACATAATGGCAGCACACTGCTCCTAACACTAGGATGGGTCAAATGCAGAGACCCGTGGCGGTGGTGGCGCAGTCGATAGGGACTTGGCTTGGCAACTGGAAGGTCACCAGTTCGAATCCCGGCAAGACCAAGTGCTACCGAGGTGTCCCTGAGCAAAGCAGGGTTCCCTACACTGCTCCCCGGGCGCCGGACACGGCAGCACACTGCTCCTAACACTAGGATGGGTCAAATGCAGAGGAACAATTTTGTTACATAGTACCTGTACTGTGAAATGACAATAAGAGCAATTTAATTTATTATTGATTTATTTTATGTAAAAAAACTAGCATTTCAAAGGTTTAAAACTTTAATATAATATTATGATATTTAATGACAATTTTGTAGTTATGATAAGGACTTGAGTTGGCTTAATAAGAGCTGAATGTTCCCTTTCCTGTGTGTGTTATATAGGTTTTAGTGCATGTAAATGGTCTGCAAAGGATAAAGTCCCTGTGTTCCTTCAAGAGGGAACACACACCCCTCCTCCCTGAAACACATCCATTGGACCCCTTTTGTTTACTTCTGTAACATAATTGCATCACTGTGTAACACGTGTGAGATACATCCATCAGTTTATAACTTAATTCTACTCTCAACCAATGACTGGATGCACGCTTCCTTCTGCTCAGTGATACAGACAGGTTACAGGTGTAGTTCTTGTTAGAAAGAAAGTAGTTCCTACATGAAACTGCACTGCATTATGTTGAGAAACCTGGCTTGTAAAGACACACTGGTGTGGTCTACAGTTGGGGCGAATTACGTTTTGTTTCGGGTCCTAACACGCATTTTGGTCTAATGCAAAACAGCTGGGTCGGCATTTAGCTTCATGACCAATTATGGAATTTAAAATGAAAGAAGTCTAGTGTTTGGCTTAAAAGCAAATTGGTTTGGAAAGTTTTCAAACAGCCAAAACATACTATTTAATTGTTTTAATGAACCGTTTTGGCGTTTTAATCTCCTCAAACCGAGAGAAGTTTCAGTACTCTTAAAAGAAGGCCAACATTTCGACGGCCGACTCTTTGCAACTTCTCCCAAAACTATCCAGATTTATAAATAGTGCTACTGGTAGGGGGGGGGGGGGGGAATTAAATATCATCCTTTTAACAGGGTGTCCGCGGGGTCTTAAAAAGTATTAAACGGCATTTTCCAAGGTATTACATTTTGTAGCTTGTTTTCAATAAGTATATAAATTGTCCAAAGAGGTTGTATTCTACAGTTTGCCTGAATGTAATCATTGCGTAGGTGTGTAGTGTGATTCTGTGTAGTTTATTTATGGCATCCCGTTGGATTTGACGTCATCTGAACAGGACATCGCACGCTCACTGCTTGATAGCGAGCGAAGGTCCGTTTACGCCGGTTGTTAAACAACATCGTTATGGGGAAATGCAAGTCTGCGTCCAAATGGTTGGAAGATAAGGAGGAAGGACAATCAATACTGTATATAGTCAATGTGAGGTAAAGTGTGTCGCCAATGTAACCGGTTAAAACTCCAAGTGGCGATGAGGTCTTAAAATGTATGGAAAGGGTCTTAAAAAAGGTCTTAAAAGGTCTTACATTTGACTTCAGGATTCCTGCTTATACCCTGTTTAAAGAGGGTAACGTGTAGATTTATTAACCATGGTTGTGTTTCCAGGTGGTTTTGAGGCCCGGGAAGAGAGGGAGACCTCCAAAGCACCCGGTGGATCCTCAGCAGGATGAAGGAGCTCAGTGTGTGTCTGAGGAGGGGGCGGAGCCACAGGTCAGCGCCACGGAGAGCGAGACGCCGACCCGAGAGCCAATCACAGAGGAGGCCGGGGAGAAGGAGGCGGAGCCAGAGAGCGGTGGGGTGAAGCCGGAGCAGAAAGCAGCTGACGGAGAGCACAGCTGCTCCGAGTGCGGCGCGTCGTTCCAGAGACGATACGCCCTCATCATGCACACGCTCAAACACGAGAAGGCCCGCGGGTACAAGTGCAGCGTGAGTACTTTAGGAGGATTACTACGGTTTTATTTAAATTATGACTGATTTTATTTAAAGGTCACCTATCATGCTATTTTTAGGCAATAGCATAGGTCTCAGATATATAAAAATATATAAAAAACATGTCTATGAAGTGTTTTGCTCAAAATACCAAACAGATCACCCATTCTAGCCATGCCTCATATCCCTCTATTTCACTTCCTGTTTCAAAAGAGCTGATTTGGGGTATAAAGCTTTAAAAAAATTAAATAAATGATAACAAATAAAAAAGGGGGGGCTGAGCTCATGCGGGACCCGGCAGCTACTGTCTAAACTAAATACTGCGGTGATGAAACGCCATATCATGGATTATCAAGGATTATTTCTGAAACAGTATGGAGCTCAAAGGCTTTCTCTCTTGCCGGTTATACCACAAGGTGAGTTCCTTTTTATTTCCTGCTTCTTCACACACATGCTCTCCAGTACAGGTTAGCTCTGAGTGTTAGCATGCTAATGTAAACACCGACCATATTACGTCCAAAACAGTCGGGCATTGTTTCTGATAGCAACGTTTCTGATAGGGCCGTGGGTCCACATTTCAGATATTACGTCATATCGGACGCAAATCTGGATCAGCTCCGTTGTAGCCCCGTTTTTAGAGATTTGGGTACGGAGGAACATTTTGCATGATAGGTCCCCTTTAATACTAGTTATATAATTAGTTAGCAATATTTCGATATATTGTTTTGTTTTATTATATCATTAATCTTTTTTATCATATTAAATTATTCTTTAATCTAATTATTATTATTATTATTATTATTATTTGTAATATACATTTTACTTTAACTTGTATTTTTGCATAATGTTTGTATAAATATTATTTTTATATTTTTTTATATTTTATTGAACATTTTACCTAAACTTTTTATGCCTATATAAATATTTTTTTATTTTAATTTATCTTTTATAAAAAAAAATTACTTTGACTTTAACATTTTTTTAAATATTTATATGTATTTAGTTTGATTCTGTCATTATGGGATGTAAACATGTTGTTGTGTCTCCCTGTAGTTGTGCAGTAAGGAGTTCCAGTACGCCGCCTCTCTGCGCGCTCACCTGGCCCGACACAAGCAGCAGAGCAGCCAGCGCGCTCCGGTCATAAAGCCCCCCGTGGAGCCCCCTGCTGAGAGGGGGGGGGGCGACAGCGACCTGGAGGACAAGACCCAGAGTCCCAACACCAAGCGGGAGTTTGTGTGCGACATCTGTGGGAAGACGCTCCCCAAACTATACTCTCTGAGGATCCACATGTTGAACCACACCGGCGTGCGACCGCATTCCTGCAAGGTGTGCGGGAAGACGTTCGCCCACAAGCACAGCCTGAAGATGCACCGCGCGCTGCACGACGTCACCAAGCAGTTCCAGTGCGAGTTCTGCAAGAAGTCCTTCGTCAGCAAGAGGAGCATGGAGGAGCACACCAGCCTGCACACAGGTCAGAGAACAGAGTGTTTACAATATGATAATACGATATTACGATATACGATAATACTCTATTTGTCAGCTCCAGTCTGAAGTTTGACAACTATGTTGTTATTTTGTCTTCTTTACTTGCTTGTAAAGCGCTTTGAGCACCAGGAAAAGCGCTATATAAATAACATGCATTATTATTATTATTATTATTATTAATATATTAGCAGAAATGTGAGATGGTTTCAGTTTCATTTGTCCAAGTTATGAGATCTCTGTCTCTACATTGTCTCCTGGAAAATCACTTTAAAGGAAGGTGAACACAAAGGGTATTTTTGGTGCTCACATTACATGTCACTTGTTAGATGCTTTTACCCAAAGCGACTTATGGGGCATTTCCACCATGGCGCGGTTTAAGCGTGCCGTGTCGTGCCGGGCCCGTTTTTGGTTGCGCTTCCACTAGGCCTACTTCCGGCCCGGGGGTACTTTTTCACCTCTTTTCTGGCCCGACAAAATCGTGGTTCTATCGGGGCCAACAACGAGGCTGAGTCGGGCTGAGTTTGCTAAACTAGAGAGAGAATCGCTGGCAAGGGGGCTACAACTACAACAAGATGAACATATTTGACCGTGATTTAATTGTAATACACGTTTCAAAATGATGCCGAAGTAACAACATACTGATACCGGTTAGTAAAAACCATGAATTAATGCTTTGTCAAGTCTGCAGACAGACGGCAGGCGAAAAACCTTTTAAAATGCTAAGCTAACGCAGTATATGCTCCGACCGTCCACACTCACAACAACGGCCTATACAGACATAAATAAAGCAGCGACTGTATTCACCATGACACAGGCAGTCTGTGGTGTGTACTTGTTTAACTTTTGTCTAGTTTCTGAACATATATGAGGAGCTGTGAGCTCTGAGTGCTAACAGCTAACGGCTGTGTTGTTTTTCTGGGGTTCTCATTGAAGATGACGTCACGGCTCCGCCTACACTGCGTTACTATAGTAACTACCCCAGTTCCTAAACTGTAATGGAAGCGCAGCATGAAGTGAGTCGGCCCTAACAAGGCCCAACGCGGCCTAGCAGTACTGAGCGAGGCCGAGGCCGACCGTGTGGTGGAAATGCGCCATAACATACATTCAGTTCTGTGAGCAACCGAAGGGGCGATTTAAGGGGTGAAGTGTCTCGCCCAGGGACACAACGACATGCCGACTGCTGGGGGACTTGAACTTGTTTTCGCCTGATCCGAAGATCAGCGCACTATCCCTCTGCCACAGCCTCCCACATATTGAATCTTTGTTAAAAATCACATTTAAAACCCGTCAAGAGAGCAGAAATAAATACAACACTAAACTAAAAGTATAAAAGTAACAATGCAGTGTAAGTTCTCAACATAAAATCAATCATTGAGACAAATTGAACTGACAGCTTTTGTAAAAGTGCTGGATGTCCTTAAAAAAATGTTAAATGTTGTGGTGTTTTGAAGTTTTGAACATTCTTGAAATTGTATTTTGTATTTTCTTAAGGAAGTAATTCATTTGGAGAGAGAGCCTAATAGCTTTTGCTTTTTTACCCTTTGACAAGAAAGGAACAATGAAAAGCAAAGCAACACTCCAACAAATACATTTAAATATAATCAAATACTTAAAGTCATCAAAAAGCCAAGAGATAGAAAAAACTAAATGTACGGTGTAGGATATGAGTAGTTCATTGATTTTAATGAAAGTATTTCCTCCATCCTATTTGTCCCAGGTGAATCAAAGTACCTGTGCAACACGTGTGGAGCGACGTTCCACCGAGCCTCAGCGCTGAGCAAACATCTGAAGAAACATCAGCCTCGCCCCGACGTGCGGCCCTTCGCCTGCGCACAGTGAGTCTCTCTTCTCTGCTTTTTCATTTGCATGTCCTCTTCCAATATTCATTTCATTTCAAACCTTTATTTATCCAGGTTGTATCCCATTGAGATCATTGATCTCTTTTTCAAGGGAGACCTGCTCAAGTAGGTTCCACATGAAACATTAAAACATAAACAGAACAACAAAAGGACATCATACAGTAGCATTACAGGGATTACAATTTACATAACTATCCACATGAACAGGTACCAACAGCTTCCGATTGAGTAGCATCCAACCGAGCTTTAAAAACATTTAGTGGCACCAGATTGCTCAGTTTCCATTTCAATTGCAGACTATTCCAGGACAGTGGAGCTGCGCATCTAAATGCTATTTTCCCTAAGACAGTCCTAGCAGTTGGCACATTTAATAAAAAAAGTGAGACAATCATCAAGCCAGATACCAAGGTATTTGTAACAGGCAACCACTTCAAGTTTTATTCCTTGCGTAGTTACAATATCTAAAACAGGCTCTGATGTCTTTTTAGCTTTTGAAAAGAGCATTACCTAGGTTTTATCAACATTTAAAAGAAGCTTTAGTTCAGAGAGCTGAGTCTGAATAATGTTAAAAGCAGTTTGCAATTCAACAACAGCCTCCTTAATGGAGGGACGTGCACAGTACATAACGGTATCGTCCGCATAAAAATGTAAGGTTGCTCCATCGACTTTTTCACCTAAACTATTGATGTAGATGGAGAATAAAAGTGGACCTAAAACAGAACCTTGAGGAACACCATTAGTAATGTTTAACCACTCAGAAGACAGCCCATCAAAGTGAACACATTGGGACCTTTCAGAGAGGTAGTTCACAAACCACCCCACTGCATGGCTGGATAAGCCAATACTGAGTAGCCTCTGCTTTAAGATGCGATGATCGACGGTATCAAACGCTTTGGAAAGGTCAATAAATAGAGCTGCACAGCTCTGCTTATTATCTAAAATACTCGCCACTTTCATTGTGGCAGTGATGGTGCTATGTTGCTTTCTGAAGCCTGACTGATGTTTAGACAGGATGTCATTTGTACATAAAAACACCTTTACCTGTTCACTCACTAGGCGTTCAAGAACCTTAGCCAGAACTGATAAATTAGAGATGGGCCTATAATTATTTAATAAAGTGGCCTCCCCACCTTTTAGTAGAGGCAGGACATACGCTGACTTCCACAGTTTTGGAATTGTGTTTGTGCTGAGGGAGAGGTTAAAAAGAGTAGTGAGAGGTGGAGCAATACAATCTGCAGCTATCTTTAAAAAGAAAGGTTCCACGTTGTCCGGGCCGGCCGGTTTCTTAGGATCTAACTTGGTTAAAGCTTCACGAACAACATCAACAGTAAAAGGAGTAAAACTAAAAGGGTTGACTAGTTGATGCTCTGTATGTGATGACTACTTCCATTCTGGAGAGGATCACAAATACATGCATCCTGAGATTGAAGCTCAAGCCGGGGACCAGTGATATTTTCTAACAGCTGTATATAAAATGTTCTCTGTGGTTCTCCTGCAGCTGTGATAAGAGGTTCTTCGAAGCCAAAGACCTGCAGCAGCACATGAACAAACACATGGGTCTGAAGCCCTTCCAGTGCCAGGTGTGTGGGAAGTGCTACAGCTGGAAGAAGGACTGGTACTCCCACGTGAAGTCGCACAGCGTGGCCGAGCCCTTCAAGTGAGTCCAGCACCACCGAAGAAGAAGGAGGAGGGCATATTTTATTAGAGTAATGTTAACGAGGCGTCTCGGATTAGGGATGTCAAGATACCAGAAATGTGTAGTTCATAGAGGATGAATTAGGTCGCATTCACACCAGCCGTTTGAATCGAACCCTGGTGCGTTTAGCCGCTTGGTTCGTTTGGGTCGGTGTGAACGCAGTCTGAGACCTCTGAAGTGAACTAAACAACCGGACTCTGGTCCGCCTCAAAGAGGTGGTCTCGGACCGCTTGCTAGTGAACTCTGGAGCGGTTCATCGCTGGTGTGAACGCAGCCCGCACCAAAACATAGGAAGCATATTATTTACGTGTCACAAGAACGCGGATGTCTTCAAAATCTTTAGCGAAAGAGTGAAGCAGAATGAAGTGTTGAACAGTGTCGTGTAAAGTAAAAATGCTCCGTCAACTATACATAAAAGTCAGAGCCACCTGTCGTCGGTGAAACGTCCTCCTTACTGCAGAACGACTCTCATTATGTGTTCAAATGTTTTTTAATGCACGTTGTCTGATTGTATAATCATTTGTACTGGCCACTAGAGTCTGTTGATATGCTCTCAGCTCTCCAGATTAACAGCAGCATGAAAATAACCTGCAGATGCTCCAAAGCTACGGTAGAAATTGCCGGGATTTGCGTTTTTACCCCCTTAATGTCTGACCAATGGTTAAACAGCATTTCCGAGCACATGACTTGTGTTTAAAGTTTATAGTCCGTTTGAGTTTTGCCCGTGTGAGCGCAAACCGAACCTTCTGAAAAATGAAACACTGTAACAAACAGTCATCTGGTGCGCACCTGAGAAACGGACTATTAGGTGTGAATGCGACCAGGAACTCAATTATCTTCTTAATGAATCAGTTGTTCTGAGGAATATTTTCCCAGGTATTAAAGTGTGTGTGTGTGTGTGTGTGTGTGTGTGTGTGTTCAGGTGTAACGTGTGTGGGAAGGAGTTCTTCGAGAAGGCGTTGTTCAGGCGACACGTGAAGAAAGCCACGCACGGGAAGAAAGGGCGAGTGAAGCAGAACCTGGAGAGAGAGTGTGAGCAGTGCGGCAGGAAGTTCACTCAGCTGAGGGAGTACCGGCGCCACGTCAACAACCACCAGGGTGAGAAAACACACATTGAAACATGTCTTATTATAAATTCATAATCTATATATAGTGTCAAGTAACTGCGCAAGACATTGTCACAGAATTAAAACAGACTAAAATACTATAGACTGTTGTAAAAATGGGTATTTGTCTTTCCTTTAACAGACAAATTGTTCTTTACTTTGTTTAACGTGCTGAAAGTGTCTTGTCTGCAAAAAAACGAATAAAAAGATCTTGAAATAAATCCATCCGTTTCCATCACACTAATGCTCTAACATTTCCTCCGTCTCTCTCTCAGGTGTGAAGCCCTTCGAGTGCCTGACCTGCGGTGTGGCGTGGGCGGACGCTCGCTCTCTGAAGCGTCACGTCCGCACGCACACCGGCGAGCGCCCGTACGTCTGCCCGATGTGCCAGGAGGCGCACATCGACGCCCGAACGCTGAGGAAACACATGGCCAAATACCACGGAGACAACCTGCCGGGGAAGATCATGCTGGAGAAAGATACGCTGCAGTTTCACAACCAGGGGACACAGGTGACTGCTATGCTGTATATAGTGACTGCTTTTATTGATGTAAAAGTGAATGGAGTAGTGGAGTACAAATACTTAGTTACTGTACTTAAGTACATTCTTCTGGTATCAGTACTTTACTCCACTACTTATTTTTCTGACGACTTTTTACTTTGACTTCTTACATTTTGAACACAAATACCTGTACTTTCTACTTCTTACATGTTGAACACAAATACCTGTACTTTCTACTTCTTACATGTTGAACACAAATACCTGTACTTTCTACTTCTTACATATTGAACACAAATACCTGTACTTTCTACTTCTTACATGTTGAACACAAATACCTGTACTTTCTACTTCTCACATTTCCCAAACAGGCTGGTTCCTTTAGTTTGAATGTGTGTTTGGTGGCGTGATCATTATTATTTAGAGTCATTGCGTGCCTATTGATTTGAACACGATCCGTGTATCCATCATTTCCTGGTCTTCTCTAAAGAAGAGGGACCAATGAAAACGTTGTCATGTTGCCGTTGTTCAGCATGGAAACATTCATTAGCTAACAATGACATTATTGTTCTATTAATATAAAGGGAGGTCAGGTACTCTTTAAAGCAGCTGCTAGTTATGGGTACTTTTTACTGAAGTACATTTCAAAGCCCTCTTTACTTTGACTTGAGTAAAGAAGTTTAGTCAGTACTTCTACTTTTACCAGAGCATTTTTAAACACGAGTATCTGTACTTCTACTTGAGAAAAGGATGTGTGTGCTTTTGCCATCTCTGGGTATATACCTATTTGTATACATATCTTTATATATAATTGTTTGTGTATTCGGGATTGTGGGAAACAGTATTTTGATCTCTCTGTCTGTACACACAACCTGAAAGATTGACCTTGACCTTGACCTTCAGGTGGAGCACGCTGTCAGCATCCTGGCCTCCGAGCTGCCTCCAGAGCTGAGACCGGCCCGGCAGCCGCCTGCCGAGGAGATCGAGACGGTGCTGATCACGGAGGAGACGGTGGAGGCGGTGCAGGCGGTGACGGACGGGTCGTTATCCACGCTGTCAGATCAGGGCATCATGCAGGTGGTGAACTACGTCCTCTCTCAGCAGGGGTTAACAGACCCCAAGCTGGAGGAGGAGGAAGAGGAGGAAGAGGAGGGAGAAGTGGGAGAGGTGATCGAGACGATGGAGGTGGAGGTGGCTCATGTGGCGGAGGAGGAGTAACTGAATGGACTGAATGTAAAATGTAAAAAGATTAATATTTTTGTAAATATGTTGAGGAAAGGGAATGATGATGAGTTACATGTTCATGACGTTTGGCACTCAGGAGGAATAAAAGGTAGAGATGAAAACACTCTTTGAATCGGCTGAATTTATTTCATCTTGTGATGTCTCCATCTTTTGTTGCTGACTTTTCTACTCCCCCTAGTGTTGACTTGAGGAAAAGCAGACAGAACAATTCCACTCGAGCTGTAACAATTAGTCCATCTTCACAAAAATTATCTGCAACTATTTTTGATAATTACAATAACATTTGGGATAAAAAGCTGGAGGTGGCTCGTGTGGCGGAGGTGGAGTATGGGCTCAGAACAGTCTCATAATACACACATGCACACAGAAGGATTCACACTTGTATTTCCGGATCCACACTTGTGTTTTTCAATGCACACACAAATGTGTTCCGTTTCATATACATGTAAATAAAATCCAAATACAGAAAAAAGTTTTACATATGTATTTTTGATCCTCACATATTTGTTTTCCGTTGAAAACCTCTGAACCTGCAAACACAACCCGCTTTCTGTGCATGGATCGCTGTGCATTCCTGTGTGGGTTTTTTGAGACTCCCCTGACGGTCACCCGATTCGTACTTGTAATTTTTTCTATCTATAGCCAATCAGATGTCTCCTTCATTCTAAGCCAATCACATGAGCGCGCCCCCACGAGGGTAGATTTCTTGCGTTCATGACGTAGCGCTTCATGTACGCATTTTGCGCTGCCCGGAGCTGACAGGTCCATGGAGCCTGCCTGCAGGCGCTAATCTCAGGACACTTCCACTTTCAGTACATTGCCACTTTCCGAACAGGAAATGCACGCAAATACAAGCCTTTATATTATTAAGGTACAGTGCCACTTTCCGAACCATTGATGAATGCTTGTGTACACAAAAACGGCAGGCAAAACCGTTTTAAATGTGTGTTTCCTGTATGGCGAATACAGCTGCTTTATTTAGGTCTCTATGAAGTTGTTGTGAGTGTGGAGGGAGCAGCTACAGGTAGGGTGACCAGATGCCAGAAAGCCACAAGTGGGACAGAGAGTATGTTTGTGTGGGACATTGTGGGACATGTAAATGTAATGTTGACGCATGAACTGTCAACGGGGGGGGGGGGGGGGGGTGTGGTACACTGTGGACCTCTGTCGCCTGTCAGCGCAACTTACATGCCGTTTAAAACATATAATAATGGGCGGTGCCGGCCGTCAGTGAACCGGGCCGGCCTTTCTCCGCAGAAAAGCGTTTTGGCCAATCAAAATGAAATATGCGGGACATCGTCTCAATTTGCGGGACGCACCAAAAGTCGTGAAAATGCTGTGCAGTCCCGCGCAAAGCGGGACATCTGGTCACCCTAGCTACAGGTTAGCTTAGCCTAATCGATCAGTGCACTACGAAGCCAGTGCTAGACAGTGAACTGTCAACGGGGGAGCCCCGCCGGTCATTATCGGCCGATATTCACTCTTAATAGTTTGATCGGTGCTCTCTATAAAGGCCGATCAGGAGAGCTGGATCTGATCGATATGGACATAAACACGAGTGAAGTTTTAGCGAGCTGCATGAGAAACTGACGGGCTGTCAGGAGAGAGGGAGGGAGAGAGGAAAAGAGATGATCCTTACTCCCGTGTTATTAGCCATATCCGGTCATAGTCCGGTAATTACCTGCTAACGGAAACTCTGCTACACAATTCTTATTATTAGGGTCTGAGACCATAGGTCGGCGAAGACCCTATTGAAATCGGTCGCGCAGCGACCGATTTTTATTCTTATTATTATTGAAACATGACCGGTAAGTTTCAAATTTGTCCGGTAAAGTTAAATTCTGTCTGCGGAAACCCTGCTCCGGACAGCGCAAAATGCGTATATGAAGTGACATGAACGCAAGAAATCTACCCTCGTGGGGGCGCGCTCATGTGATTGGCTTAGAATTGAGGAGACATTGATTGATTGATTGATTGAAAAGTTTATTAACAGCTTGTATATTGGGTACAGTACAGTACAGCTCAAAACATACAATTGTTAAGGGGATGCAGACCAGAGAAAGACTTTCGTCTTGTTTACATCAGGGTCCCCCATTTCCAATTCATCATATCATTTAAGACATATAAGACATATTTGACATACAGATGGCTTATTTACAATTTACATACAGGTGGTTTTTTACATACAGATGGCTTATTTACAATTTTCCTTTTAGATTTCGTTCTAATACATCCTAACCGGACATTTAAGACATACCAAGTCTACAGATATACAGTTAGTAACAGAGTCTAAAATGCGAGTATATACATAGATGGGGGGGGGAAGCTGTCCATTGTACGACAGGTTGAGATTTGTACCATTACCGGGGCCAGTTTTGCAATGCTTTCCCCCGAAGGTGCTCTTTAAGAGAGGTTTTGAAGGTAAGTATAGTTTTACTTTCCTTTACAGTTGTGGGAAGAGCGTTCCACCTTGATGTGGCATAATTGCGAAACGTGTATTCCCCTTTTTTTGTGCCAAATCTGGGTTTTACATGATTTGTGGAGCTCCCTCTGGTGTTATGATCATGGTATTCCTTGACCTTTGGGAAGAATTTTGACATGTACATGGGTACCATAGAGGTGTAGTGGATCTTGTAGACCAGGCCCATTGCAAGTAGCTGTACTCTGTCATCTACTCTAAGCCATCCTAGGTTGTCAAAGTGGGCAGAGGTGAGGTGGGTTCTAGATGAAAGGTCAAGCAGTAGTCTGACCAGTTTATTTTGCGATGTTTGAAGTTTTATTTTTAGCGCCTTGGAGGTGCTATGGTACCATGACGTGCAAGCATAGTCATAGTACCCTTGAATGAGTGCTCCTGCCAGAGTTTTCAGGGTGTTTTTGTTTACCAGAGAGGAGATCCGGTATAGGAATCTAGTTCTTTGATTGACTTTTTTTATTACATTGGATGCCATTTTGTCACAGGAGAGGTTTGCCTCAAGACTAGATCCTAGGTATGTAATTTCCTTCTTACTTGTGACAATAATGTCACCCACTGCAACTGAGAAGTCGTCGGATTTGCTGAGATTATGTTTCGAACCGAAGAGAATGGACTCTGTTTTACCCAGGTGTAATGATAATTTATTATCGGCGAGCCAGGTGCAGATTCTGCCGAGCTCGGAGCTGAGGGTTTTTTCAACCTGCAATCTGCTCCTGTCAGAGACCAGCAGGGCTGAGTCGTCCGCGAACAGGAACAAGTTGCAGTCACATGCTGATGACATGTCATTTGCATAAATTAGGAACAGTAACGGACCTAATATGCTTCCTTGTGGAACACCACAGCTCACTGGGAGGGGGGGGGACAGAGTACCGTTTACCTCCACCATCTGTTCTCTCCCCTCCAGGTAGGATTGCATCCAGCTCACCGATAGTTTATCAAAACCAATTGCTTTTAGCTTGTCAATCAGAATGGGGTGATTGACAGTGTCGAAAGCCTTTTGTAGGTCCAGCATCACCATGCCGCAGTATTTACCCTCGTCCACCTCTTGTTTGATGTGGTCGTTCAAATAAAGAAGGCATGTGTCAGTGGAGTGGGATGTTCTAAAGCCAGATTGAAATTCATAGATTAGTTTCTTTTCTGCGAGGTACTTTTCGACCTGTTCATATACTATTTTTTCCATGACTTTCGAGATGGAGGTAAGTATAGAAACAGGGCGGTAGTTGCCTGGGTCCAATTTGCTGCCCTTTTTGTGCAGGGGGGTTACTCTTGCAATTTTGAAGTCTTTGGGTACTTTTCCCTACATCTGATTGGCTATAGATAGAAAAAATTACAAGTACGAATCGGTTCACCGTCAGGGGAGTCTCAAAAAACCCACACACGAATGCACAGCGATCCATGCACAGAAAGCGGTTTGTGTTTGTAGGTGCAGCGGTTTTAAACGGAAAACAAATATGTGAGGATCAAAAATACATATGTAAAACTTTTTTCTGTATTTGGATTTTATTTAATGAGTGATTCTACAATTTAGGGTACATTCCATGTCCATTGATGTCCATTGATGATAATTATAATTATTCTAACTATTTTCTTCAAAAATATCATATTTTGCCTATTATTGGAAAGCATGTTATAATATCACACAAACATTATGTGCATCCTATGCTTTATTTAGCTTGAAATGTGTCATGATGTTCTTAAATTGTCAGTTTTTGCTCTGTCCGTTTTTCAGTTGAGGGTGTCTTGGTTTCAAAATAATGAATAAAAACCATTAAAGTAAATAAAAAAAAGTATTCATTTATTTCAAAAGTCTAAATACTAAAGAATAATAACATATTTTTAATTGATTTCCTCCTTTAAATAATTTAAATATCTTAATATATGAATGTCCGCAAAGGTTCTGTCAACTATGTTACTAACAGAACTCCCCCCTTTAACTCACAAATGGTTTGTCCCAATACCATGTCACCAGCATCACATGATGCCATGTTCCTCTTTGGCAGACATTTTGAACACACTGTGGTGATTGTCCTCTAATTTTTTACAATATTTTATGTATAATAGTACATTGTCAATGAGTATATTAATTGACCATCAACAATGTTACGTAAATTGTTATGGTTTACAATTGTTTAATGATTTTAATTCAATTATATGTTCAAATGTTATGTTAACCTGTTCCAGAAAATGACATGTGGTCATCCAGGCAAGGCCTACCATTGAAATGATGGGTCAAAATAGGGAAATTGTCAACTAGGTTACCTGTCAACTGAGTTACCCAGTACTGTAATAACTGTAGTAACTTAGTTGACAGGTAACCTAGTTGACAATTTGTATGACATGTAGACGTCATTACACATCATTATCAATGGAATTTTGCACTTCTGCCTTGAAATGAACATAGTGCTGATGGTTAATAATGTGTCCAGTCAACTATGTTATTTGCGTCAAATGTTTGACTTTCATTGTCAACTATGTTGCACCTAATTTTTTCAAATTTAAAATAGTGCTTCTGATATCCTTTATAGTATAATGTATATTTACACAGGTTGGAGTTTTACATGACATCTCTTAAAACTATCAAAATGACCTGTATGGTAGTTTTATAATACAAAATATCTCTAAACTTAATGA